TTTCATATCAAACAAATGCTATTACAGACATATGAATGATATGCATGAATAAATTAATGTCATGAACCATTTCGGATTGATAGTTCGTGTGGAAGAGGTTAAACGTGGTCATTTATGTTCAAATAAATATCCCAAAAATTCCAAATACAAAGCATTATAAATCAGTGCGGGCCGGTCCAATAAATATTCTGACAAGTGAACACATTTAGAATAAATCTAGAAAGAATATCTACTCTAAATTTAAAGTAATGACTGGCACATATTTCGAATTGCCATCCTGACATATGCCGAGGCCCGCGTCGGTGAGTATAAAATATTTCACCCATCCCCATAAAAATTTGTTAACGGGCTTAATAATAAATTTCAAGCTTTTTTTTTGTTCGGTTTAGGAAACTCGAGTAGAAACTTTGCGACATGCGGTTATCTTTAAGATGGATCTGAAATTTAAATAAAACTATGGAAGTGTAACGAATCCTCCATGTAATCACGTTACGATGTAGGTGTGTGAAAGATGATTGATTCATTTAAACACACATGATCAAGTTAGACGTAATCGGAGATCTTCGTAATGATTAACTGTACGAGAAAAAAAAACGACATATTGGCCTTCTGCATTGTATAAGACAATATCTTCGAGAAATATCTAACAAAACACCTGGTGTTAAAGTGTCATTTCGTTATGGTATACCTGAAATTATACAACCCCACTCGAGATACAGATATGTCAGAAATGTTCTTCAAACGTTACAGTTTTTTTTTTAAACGATCAAAACCCCCGCTGGGTGGGTGTGGGAACAAAACCCCTCGGCTAGTTGACTTGCACTTGTCATCAATAACGCTGACGTGAATGGTTCTTGATCAAATCGTGCGCATTTTATTTATTGGATGACCTTTTTTCAAATTTATAGAAGTGGTGGCTATTGTAGTATAAAAAAAATATTTATTATAATATTCAAACCGTTTTTTTAGACATTTCCGATGGTTCATAAATTCGGAGAAGTAGAAAGAGCATCTTGTTTCTTCAATATTGTTGTTTGCCAAGGTGCAAGATTTTGTAACGTACATTTCGCCAAATAATTTATTATTGAAGTTCTAGATTGTTCAGTTTATATTATAACATAGAAATTAGATGCTAAACAAAGGTACCATTCGTATTACCTGATTATAATACTTAAGTGATAGAGATCATTTTTTAATCAATTGCGAGATTCCCTGATCTGAATTATTTTCTCCTTTTAAGCGACATTTATGCATACCCTTAGTAACTATCTACATTGCCTATTGTAGAAAATCAGCGATGGATGATGCCTTTTTCTTAAACGGTGCTGCTTTTTTCAGTGAATATATGACACAAAGATATTTCGTAATGAAAATGTAGGTAAAATGAAAATATCTTTGGATTTATATAATGATCTAGCTAGAGAACCAGCCACTTATAACGCTTTGGAAATTTTCGCTTTCCAGGAATAGGGATTTATAAATCGTGGGAAAAGGCCTAATATTGCTCCGCTAGGGAGACAAAGGGTCCGTTAACTTTGCCCCCCAACTTAGAGAATATTATAAATGAATGCGCGTGTTATGCGCTCACACGCGCCACCGATAATAACTCTTGCATCATTATCGTTTTTCAGAAATCCAAAAATACATTTGGGAGGAGCCAAGTGTAGGAGACCCCCCCCCCCTTCCCCGTTTGTCGCCGATACTTAGGCCACCTAATACATTTGGCTATGCGCTCTGCAGTTGCGCTACTTGAATTTAGCCATCACGGTTAAACCATAAAAGAATTTTCAAAAGGGGGGGGGGGGGCGAACTTAACGGTTTTTTAACAAATTTGTTTTACTACATCGTACCTTTCATCATGCGCTAAAAATACTCCGTTAAGAGAAATCTTTGCGCCATTATAGTTTTATACCAATCCCTTATTAGCTCCATGTAATTACCTACTCTACCCTCTACTGTTAGAATTGTGCACCTATGTCCCTTTTTGTCAACCCATCCTTTCCCTTATTTCTCTCCTCCTTTAGACCTCAGGCCGAACGTATCAATTTCTTTCATAAAATTTTTTCCACATTACATTCTGTTACTAATTTTCTTTTTCACTCCATTCCTGGAATCGTACCGACCTGTGTCGCGACGCTATCCTTATCTTCTTAATTTGTGCTCTCCCTTCTACTATACGTATATCCTTCCGTTTAGCTCTAATACTCACGTATAGTACTCTCTCCATTTCATTCCTTCCACCCGCATATCTCAGTTCTTTGCATTATTGGTACATGAAGTATGTAACTTCTCGTACCGCCTTTCTTTTTTTCATCTCTCTATTACCATCTCATTTTTCTTCCTCTCCCTTTCCCAAATATCATCATCTTTTCTACATTTAACTCCATTCCCTTCCTTTCCCAGTACCCTCTCCACCTCAATTCTTCCCATAATTTTCTTTATCTGTTCTACTTCTGTTGCCATTATCACTCGGTTGTCGTCCGTGTATGCCAGAGATCATTCCTTGCTACTACGATACCTCCTTAATTTTTTTCCATTCCTTCTATGTAGAGGTTAAATAAGGTTGGGATAAGTGGCCATGTCCAAAATACTTCAGACTCCTTCCCGTCTATTCTTACCCTCAATTTTTTCTCCATATATGTAATTCCTTGATTCTGTCCTTTAGCTTCTTGTCTATTTTCCGATCATTTTCCACTCTGTAAAACTCTCGCCTCGCACCATTCATTTTTTTGTAATGACGCGACTATTTCGAACTCCACCGCTCTCATGCTCTTGTTACCTTCTGACAATCGAAGAATCAGTGCTGTAGTAACCCTACAGTGGTCACTACAATTTTGGGACACGAGTAGTCGCTGCGGATTTATGCTCCGCAGGGATTGTATATGACCCGACAGGGTTAATTGGGAGGGCAGACTTCGGCAATGCTGCAGTACTGAACTTCGCCCTTCATTTGAATGTTTTGGAACCAATCTTTCTTGCTATTTTTGAGTGCATGAAAACCGCAATCGCCTTCCCACCCTTTTTTCCTAATTCCCCTTCCACTAATCTGTGTAGTACATATACTTATACAGTCGATGGTTCCCCTCCCGTTTCTGATGCACATTTGTGTTTCCTCCAACATCCCCTTCTCTTCTACTTTTCTTTCTAGTTTTTCATTCTGAACCATTGCGTAGATTCTATACGCAGTTGTCATTATCGTAAGTTCCCTATGACTGTCAATACAGCCTTTATCACCGCGTTTGAAGATCGAGACTATCCTTTCCTTCCATTCTTCAGGTAGGCTCTCTCCTTTCTATATCTTGTTTACTAGTTTCCTAATCTTTTCGTTGACCCTATCTGTGCCGAAAATCCAAGCTTCATTCCTATTTCTCCCTGGCACTTTCCCTTTATTCCGTCTTTTTAATTGATGCTCAATCTTTTCCCTTGGTATCTGCTTCAACCACTTCACTTCCTACCTCTTCCATCGCCTCCTCTTTCCCATGATTTCCTTGTACCTTAATAAAGTGTTTTTTCCATTCTTCTAAATGTATTTGTCTCCTACTTACTCTATTTTTAACATTTCAGCTGTTTTATCACCTTCCAAAAGTCATTCACTGTTTTTATTTAATATAACTTTGCGTAAGAAAAGTGTTTTTCCAAATTTTGGTTGCAAATTACTGGAGGATTATTAGAGATATCAGTGAGAAAGGAACCTATTGAATTCTGTCCCATTTTTAACCCATTTTTACCTGAGCTAGTTGGCAAGTAAAAGTACGAAACGGTAGGTCCCACTGACTACAACACGAGAAGATGAATAAAGTTGTGAGAAGAATTTCACCAATAAAACCACGAACCCGAAGTTTATTTCGTTCAATTGTAACTAACGTTACAATATGCCTCTCGGAAGTGAGGTACCCTTACAGGACCTAGTACGATTTAGGTTTCGTGTTGGTTTGCGCGAAGCCTGTTATAAAATTATGTGGCATATACAGTGTGTAAAGCGATGGGGTATACAAGAGGGAATTTTTTTTAAATATTGATTTATGAAAAAAATTTTATTCTTCATGATATTTTTTCTTGGTTTGAACGTACCAATAACGTTTCGATTGTTTGTGGTTTGATAGCAATACGCTATTTTGATTATAATGGAGAATGATAACTTTCAATAAAAACAATTAATTTTATTATTTTTCCAGATTTCTATAAATAAACTTTAGATTATCGAAACGTTATTGGTACTTTCAAAGCCAGCAAAAAATATCATGAAGAATAAATTTTTTTCATAAATCAATATTTAAAAAAAATTCCCTCTTGTATACCCCATCGCTTTACACACTGTATAAAGCAAGTAAATTTGGTGCTTGTTTTCTCCCTTGATTTCGTTTCTGAGACAAATAACGAAGGACAATTCCATTTCATATTATTTCTTTGTAATTCTGGATGATTATTAGACATATTATTTGTGTGACTCATTCAACAAATTACGCAACACTCACTACACATTACTCCATCGTATTCCCTTGTTATTTTGTAGATAGTGTATGAGATATCCTTAATTAGAATTACTTGACCTAGTCTATGTTTATATAAAAGAAGTCGCAAGTCTCATTTTTAAATTTAAAACCCAGTTTCTTCAGAAAAACCAAAAGGACTAATGCAAATAAGCAAAAAAAAACTACTCACACTCTCGCTCACTGTATTTTTCTGCTTTATGTAGAAAATTGTAATCCGAGACCACCACCTTCCGGTACGAGTCCGGATTAAGCGACATCTATTTTGGTCCCATCCCACAGTGATATAAGTCGAAGGAGTCCACTTTTCTAAATCAGAACTTAGAGGGTAGACCTAGAAGCAATAGAAATAAGGTGAGTTAATTTCGCAGACAGGACAGTGTTTACGGAAAGGTGACACCTTTTTATACGTATCGATCCCATAATTTACTTAACATCAATCAATTCTTTAATATATGAGGAGAACAGCGATATAATCAATAAATCAAGCGATCATACTCACCCCAAATCGTCTAGTCAGTTTGGTGTAGCGGTTTAAGACTAGGATTCCAACCTCACAGATTGTGAGTTCGAATCCCACAACTTGCCAGTTTTTAGGAGTACACGAGATCTTCGGACTACCATGCTTCAGAAGGCATGTAAAGCCGGCGGTTCCGGCAGTCATACCACGATTGCCGTTAAGTCACACAGACGGCTGTTGATGCGACCTGAAAAACGTGGGAGTGCCACCCATACGATACAATACGATACGATACCCCAATTCGTCAGAACCATCTAGGCCTCGAATAACAGTAACCCTGAAGTACAAGAAGCACAAGGAGCACCTCTGTCTTGCATTAAGCTACATAACTACTCTACTAATGTTATTCAGTGACACTCAAACATGCTATTCTTAGTAGTCGGGTTAACGAGAACAGATGATCTCACGTCCAGGTTTCTATACGCCACCCGTATCCGTATCCTCCAGCGCAATTCCTACCCTCATAGGTGAAACTAAACGAGGGTCTGCAAAAGTCTACGACTAATACACGAGTCCACATTGTCCTGGAAGCACTCACGCTGGAAACATAACCTCATGAAGGGGACCTTAACCCTAATTTACAGGTCTGAGGTGGATCGCACCCCACAGCCACTTTCAATGTCCATAAGTTTTTTTTCTTTCAATAGTTTGGCCTGGGAGCTCGAGTACCTTCCAAGTTTAGTCTTTTCTATCGTTTTTGGCGTTTTTGGCCTTCTTAGGATTTGAGTTTTTATTTTATCACTACTTTTAGAAAAACTTTCAAGTTTACAGGTCTGGGGTCCATAAGTTTTTTTCTTTCAATATTTTGGCCTGGGGTTCGTTCCACCCCACGCCCGTAAACTTGAAAGTTTTAGTGGCCAGTAAACTAGGGTTAAGATACTCGGGTTCGCTGGGACCTGGAAAGTCAAAGCAAAAGAGTGTCATATCTAGGTGTGTAACTACGTATCCTCCCCTACAATCGAAGGCCAACAGGAGTCTTCCAACGAGGTGGGTTTAGATGGCCCAAGCACGGGGTTCTTTTACACTGATCGGCCGGCTCGCACGTCTCCTGGACACAAGAATAGTGTGTTAATATAATGAAGTCTTTAAAGCACGCGTTACGAGTTTAAGCGTTGCAACTGCTTTAAAGACTAATATTATACACGTGTTTCTTATAGTAATTTTTTAATTATGCCTGCAATATAATTTAAAAATAAGGGAAATAAAATAAAATCATATTGACTTTATACCCGAATACATGTCTAATGGCTGTTTGCACCGACAAATTTAAGTGGAGCTTAGCTTAAACATAGCTTAAAATCCATGGCAACCATTGTCTCAATAATCGTTGCCATGGGTTTTAACTACACTTAAGATATGCTCCACTTAAATTTGTCGGTGCAAACGGCCATAAGCCTACGCCTTAAATGCATCGATAATGCTGGCATATGTGAAGGAAATGACAAAAGAGTTTCAATCTTCTACCCTTTGGTACATTCATTCAAAACTGCAATTAAAAAGTGGAAGGGGTTTGGCAGCATCCAATACATAAATACAAGACATCTTTGGCATTTGCAGAAAGAAACCCTAGGGGATTTTTTCTTTCTGTCCCAAGTTATAGTTTCATATTATGTATTAATGTATTGTATGCTGCCAAACTGCTTCCATTTTTTAATTGCAGTTTTGAATGAATGCACGAAAGGGTAGAAGATTTAAACACTTTTGAATTTCCTTCACCTATGCTAGCCATCGAATTCTCTAGACTTGACTGGATTTGGATTTTGCACTTCTACTTTTGCAACAAGCCATTGAATGGACCGTGTTATCTTCTTCAACCAAAGTTATTGTATTTACAAAGATTGTGATTTTTATAAGTAAACGTCAAGTGGCATTTCCATGACAATCATGGGATTACGAATTATCAGTCCACTTAATTAGACTTAGCTCAAGCGTAGCTTAAAATCCATGGCAACCATGGTCTCAATAATCGTTGCCATGGATTTTAAGGGACGCTTAAGCTAAGCTCCGCTTAAATTTGTCAGTGCAAATGGGCATTAGACATGTATTCGGGTATAAAGTCAATATGATTTTATTTTAATTCCCTTATTTTTAAATTGAAGTAACGTTACTTAGAAACATTTAAAGCTCGGCGTACTTTTTTTCAATGTATTCCAATATTTTCATTTTGCGTATTTATTTTCTATCAAGGTGGCCAAACGCGGAGTTTTTCAATTTTCAGGTAAAAAGCAAATAATATGGTAGAATTGAAGCGAATTGCAATGGATCATAGAACGCCATAGCATTTTAAGGGATTACTAGGGTAGGTACAACATTTTTGGACTGTTTCACTCTACATACTTAAAACGTAAATGAAAATGTGCATTTTCTGGTGTCGTAGCTTGAATTACGAAGAGGGGGAAATTGCAGAATATAGGAGAAACCGACATGGAGAATGAACTTTGTTATTATTTTACGAAACCGTTGAGAGCACCCTATCATCCATCAGCATTTATTAATCCATAGTCATAATAGTTAGGAGAATTGTGGTTTTCTAAATAGTATCCTAGTTAAACTACAGTATAAAGATATGGGTAGAAGAGTCTCATTTACAACAAGTTTGCGCATTTCAGTGAGCTTTTACTGAAAGCTTCCAATTGTTTCTGTTTGTAGCCGATAATTACCTGAAAATGTATGTAACCAATGGGCAAAAATTGTGCCTGAGCGAGAGTAAACCTATTTTTCTTTATAAAACAGTAAACGATAGCAACGTTTGAGCGTGACACACCACAATAGTATCGTGCCTGAAAAGTTCTTTGTAAATTTTTCTATTTTGACTTTTGTTACTAATGGCACTACTATTGTGGTTTTGTAGCCTCACCTTTAAATAACCACCTGAAAAATTTATGGACATTACTGCGAGTCCACTTAGACCCGGTCTATGACCCTCCGCTGTGCACCTGACACCCACAAGCTCGCACACATTCCTCGGTATTTATACCCGATAAGATCTTATTATATGAGAAATAGCTGCAATATTACAGTAAACTTTCTGGATATATGAATATTTAACCTGAAAAAAAAATGGTCGCTGATGCCTTTAATGCCGTTTAGGCTTTATTAAGGACGTCGCCACCTCGTCACCTACTAAAGGATGTTGCTGTGTACTTTCAGTTACGCAAGTGCCAAAACCAATATAAAAGTGTGAGATTGAAGCGTATGTAAAACACATTACAACAACGTGTAACGCCTTGTACTCCATAAAGACCGCTGCATATATAGGTGTTGTCATGTGTTGTACTATATTGTTGTGCATAATTTCAACACATGCTTTCGCCTACTCGACTATTATATCGAAAGAAATGTGAGAAATAGAATGTTTAACAAACCTTACCTTAAACGACGGAGGAAGGCTTTTAATCTAGACGAGGAGGTTATATTAATAAACTGTGAATCATGAACAATAAACCTAGCGCAAAACCAGGAAATTACTTTTTACTCGCCTGACTTAATTAATAAAAGCAACACGACGTTCTAATGATATCATTTTTGGTGATGTAATTGCTTCACACGCTAGGTGTTAAAAATCAGATTTGAAAGTGACGTTTTTTGCATTTGGCGGCCTTCGCTTATTGACAGGTAATTTTGTACGTTTTTAATGATAAAAGGTGTTACATCTTTAAATAAACGGAACAATTAGATAATTTCACGTTTAAATGTTAATCATAACATTTATAAATGACACAATAATTTAAATGATGAACGCAACCTTACCTTACTGTTGCGAATTTGTCCAAAATTCTTCTTCTATCTTTAATTTGTCAATCAAAGTCAATGTTTTACACAACATTGCACGGCTAATCATGTACATTAAGCGAGCTGTAATTAATTTTTGTGGGTTATCGCGCCCGGTCTCTTGTTAAATGTAGTTTTCTTGTCATAGGCAATCAAAATGAAGAAAGTAAAATATTCGGGTTAACAAGAGAATGTGAGCTTTTGAAATGCAGACTTTGGCATTTGGAGTAATTTGTAAAAGATCTGCAGTGGAGTTTCCCATCCGAAAACTAGTTATGAGGCGAGGATTATTATGTGATGCTATGTGCCGTCGTGCCTTTTTAGGGAGAAGGTGGATCATCCACATTTTTTCATTAGGCAACCTATGCACCTATGTTTCTAAAGAGTAAAAAACCTTTTTCCGCCATTCTTCTATTTTGAAGAATTAAAGAGAAGATCACGTGGCGAAGGTACACCCAATTATCTATATTCTATAGTATTTTTAATGTGGTCGCAGACGTTTTAGGGGAGTTTTCCGAAAAAAATTCCCCTTATCTGATGGTTTTGTCCTTTTACCCAAAATCGTCATGAAACCTTCATTTTCATGCCTCCTTTATGTCAGGAAAATGTTAGTTTCCATGACAGAGGCAGGCCAGTCTACTTGTCCTGTCGCCTGTCACTTTACCGCCCGCACTTGTCACTTTACCGCCCGCACCTGTCACTTTTCCTGCCGCACCTGTCACATTGCTAAATGTCCATAATGACTCTTTTCATCATTGACAGATTGGCATTAATCAAAAGTGCTATATACAAATTGAAATTTGATATTAAAATACGATTTCGTGTAAAATTTAATACAAAACTCGTCAGTAAAAAATGACATTGCCTGACTCAGAAATTAAAGTACTCGGCCCCAAAGGGGCCTTGTACTTCAATATTTCCTTGCCAGTATAATGTGTCATTTTCCTGACTTTTATGTAAATAACTATTAAACCTGCTCGTTTATTATGTTCTATTATGGTAGTCAGAAAAGATAACATTTTTTATTCCAATCGGCAAATTTTCCAGGAACGAATGTGTCTGGACCGGCTTCCTGCAAAATAGTTTTCGGATGCCAATGTCGACAGACGGCACTAAAAATCGGGAAAATGGGCTTTGTCAATCATTCAAGATTACACAGCTACGTACGCATTATCTGTTTTGATATTTTGATCCATTAATTTCCAAAATATTCTGCATTTATGATCTAAATTTAGTATTTATACTGTTGTGTAAACTGTAAACAACGTCATGCAGACGTTTTGTTTGGGATCGGCACCTATAATAATAATGGATCACCCTGTGACTGGAATATCAATTTTTTTAAGTGTAAATTTGGTTGCTGGTCTTGAATTAAACACGAATTTCGATTTTATTTAAGGTTCAACGTTGCTTTGTATAAGAATTGTTGAATGGTTAAGTGTTTTTAAATTGATCGCCTCGTAATTTGTTTATTTAATTGTAAAAGTGGAATTACGGGTTAAAAGATTGGATAAACATGGCCGTATTTTCGGGTTGTATTAAAAGGTTTTATCTGGACATTGCGATAAAAACATTACGTATCGCGTTGTTATGGTGAAATTTAATTAGTTTCAAGATAAGCAGGATTTTTCGCCGATACGAGAACAGCAGGTGTGCAGTTTATTTCGAAGTTGGCGTTAATCAAATTTGGTTCTGATTGGCTGATTGTTTACGAAATGTAAAAGGAGATTTTGAAGGTGGAAGAGCGAGAGAAGATCCTTTCGACGATCTTCCACAGTGCACGTAGGAGGGATATGAGCTCTAGATCTGGTGTTCGGAGGGAGTTTTTCAGAGATTCGATAGAATTTGCACCTTCTACCGAATGGTGGGGAAATGTGCTAGTGATATCGCAGCGTTTAGCACTCTCGTGAAGTAGGCGAGAGTGGGGCGCGGAGATGGTGTGGGGTGTGGTGTGGGGCAGTGGTGCTGTAGTGGCTGGGCGGGGGTTGTGATATGTATGCAGTATGTATGCGTTGGTGGAGGGTGCGGTTGTCGGTTTTTTGAGGCGGTGGAGGGTCTGATGTTGTTGGTGGGAGCGATATCTCTTTGGCGATTTAATAAGGTTCGACGTGTTGGTCGTTTTGAGCGCTTTTTTTTCTTATACTTCTTTCTTCTCTCCCCAACAGATCTACAGTCCACACTGGGAGCATTCATAGGCATGGAAGGGGCTTTTGACAAAACCTTCAAAAAAATTGAAATCGCATTACGCACGCTA